GGTTATAAAAAACAATAAATATGATTTAGTATGTAGTAAATGACTATTTTAAAACTTAAATGTCTTAAAAAATATTTTTGTTTATGTAGCCACTGTAGATGGAGAAAAAAGTGTCTAATTATATAATAGATTCTATTGTATTTAAATATAATTTTACATTTAGTTTTTTTTTTTAAAATTCGTAATATTTCTCAGTCTTTAAATATAGTAAAAATTTATAAAAAAGACGATTCAGAGAGGGGTCGAACCTCTGACCTTGTGGATAACAGCCACACGCTCTAGGCAACTGAGCTACTAAAGCTTTTTGACGTTTTCTACACAAAACTTCACTATATCTTTATATGTTTTAAATATTGAAACAAAATAAAAAAAACTCGCTTGAGAGATGATTCGAACCTGTGACCTTGTGGTTAAACCTCTTTTGACTAGGCTCCTAAAACCCTTTCCTAGCGAAAGAGAGAAACTTTGAGTTTCCTTTTATTTTTCTTCTTCTTGAGAGATGATAAATTCAAAGCTCTATAATTTCCCCAAAACCCTACGCTTCCTTCTTCTCTCTTCTTCTCTAAAGTCTTCTCCTTTCCTTCTCTCTCTCAAACCCTTTTCTCCAAAATCCTTCTCGTCTTCGTCGTCTCCAATGGAGAAAACCAACGAAGCTAATGGTTCAAAGTCTGATTCATTCTTGTTCAATAAAAGAAGAGCTGAAGGGTTTGATAAAATCGATAAGCCTAAGAAGAATCTCGAACGAAAATCTCGAAAACTCAATCCCACCAACACTATTGCTTATGTACAGGTTCAATTTTGAAACTTAATCTCAAAGTTTTCATTTTTTTCTCAAAATCATGTTTTTGTAAACCAATTTTTTTAGATACTTGGAACTGGAATGGATACACAAGATACTTCGTCTTCTGTGTTACTCTTCTTTGATAAACAAAGATTCATCTTTAATGCTGGAGAGGTAAATTCTATTACAGATTCAACAATGTACATATGTTTTTAACTTCTTTTGTAGTGTATGATTGATTACATATTGGTCAAATTTTGTCTGTTTCAGGGCTTGCAACGTTTCTGTACTGAACATAAAATCAAACTATCAAAGGTATGTAATCACTAGAACTCCTCTGTTTCTCTCTA